ATCACTTTGCTCCCAGGAGTAAATATTTTGTTAAAATAATATAACGACATCGTCATTCCTTCAGTTAATTTAAAAAAAATAATATTCCACACTGCCTCCAATTTAGTTTTAATTATTTCTTAATTTGATTTCAGCAGAGTCATGTATCATATAAGGGCGCTAAATAGTGTAATGCGACGGGGAAAACAAAGGCCAAAAGCTCTCAGAAAACGGTACTTTGAGATAGTTCTTGAAACTCTCCAAAAATGTGAAACTATATTATCCCTAAATGTGCAACATATATAAATTTGGTTGTTCAGGATTACTTCAAAGTTCAGTGTGCGGTCTCTTTGGCTGTTTTCACCGGCTCTTCGACCGGCGTTCCACAGCAGCTCGCACAGAACCCATATACACATGGTACAGTGGTGCGCGTCTTAGCTACGTGGAACGTCTTGTGACGTAGCTCCGCCCCAGAGAATGCATTTTAATGGGTGTTCAATGAAGCCAAGCCTGACTTTAATTTTTTACATGTTCAGATCGCCCTGGGATGTTTTGTCTTGTCACAGTATAAATGTAATGTCAATCTATAGATTACACGTGACGTGTGAAACAAATTGAAGAATTTGTACAAAGCCGTGTTCACTCACCTTTGCCAGCCACGGTTTATTTATTCGACCGTCGCTGTTACCTTTACCACTATAAACACAGCGACGTGTGCTGTGACGCGTTTCAACGAGAAATGTGATGCAAAATCGCTTGTTTTTGTCAGTTAAAGGGTGGTGGTCTTCACGCCACGTCCTGTTCGATATCGGGGACTCATAGCGACGTATACAACGTGTGTTAAATACATTGTTTGTTTACATAAAATTCTGACGCTCTGCGCGACGACCACCTCCCTTTAAGTTATGATATTATATAAGACGGCAACATCTATTGGTTTGAATTTGAAATCGTCGCGACTTGTTGTTACAGGAACGCTGATTCGTGGAGCCAGTTTGTATTGCGCCCAATCAAATCATTCAATCGAAGTCAGTTCAAATATTTTTTTTTGTCAAATATTAGAACACGCATGGACTCGTTAGAACGGCAGAAAATGGTCTACTCCAGCGAAACCGCGAAAGTTTTTTTTATCCGACAACGATCTTTTGACGTCGTCCCAAAAACAAATAATAATTGTTACATACATGCGCATTGCAATACTGGTACGGACCATTAAGTCAAATTGCGCACCAACGATTTGTTGCACGAGGATTGCACAAGAATGCACGATTTGTCAAAGAAATTGCGTTTTGGAAGTTTTCATATAACTTTGTCGGAAGGAAATTTCTGTACTATATAAGTTTTTCGCGCTGGCAGGAAACTGTAACTCAATGTTTTTCAGAACAAGAATATTATCTTTTAAGACACACGCTTTTATTATAAGAACAGAGCGAACAACACACAGATTAGACACTCCTTAGCTCTGATGACGTCACAGCTCAAAAGTATCGGGATTTCAAGCATTTTTGATTTTTGAGTTTAACTTTAAAAAAACTCACACAAGCTGAACTAAATTTCAAGTTATAAATAAATAAACGCTGCTCGGACTGATAAGTATGATATATTGAAGATAATATTTGGTAATCGTAGTCCTAAATAACTATTAAAAATAGCTATAAATTTCAAGTTGTTGTGAATATATTGAAACCACTCCCACGATCATATCATGCATCATGCAGTGATTTTGAAATACATGTAATAGCAATTCTGTGTGAAGGAGCGCGTTTTTACAGCCGGGGATGGGGGGGGGGGCTACTTACATTAAAGTGCAATACGGGTATGTGCGACCCGACTGGGATGTCATTTCACGTTTTTTGTTTAGCAGTGGGTAGTCGTTTATCAATGGTCTGGTTTAGAAGTGTGTAGCATTTATTTGCTTTTTCACAGGTCTTTATATTCAAAGCCAGATACCGGGAAAGGCTGAATAAAATGCGTCACCCGAATGCGCTCACTGATTGCGAAAGGTGTGAGCTATGTTTAGAAGTGGGTATATAAATAGAAAAAAATGGTTTAAAGTGAAAATGGTTTACAAAAGGTGGGCTGCACACCCCTACCCACTTAAGGTAGAAGTACCCCCCGGGTTGTACGTTTTGTTACGTGCGTCAAGATCCACCTAAAGCGTCGACGTGGTGGTGATCGGCCAATATATTAGGCGTCAGTTAATTGGTTGAAATACAACATGATTTCAGACAACTGTTAACTCACCTGAGATCGGGTAGCTGGCCAGTCAGAATGCATACATACGTTAGGCGAGGAAAAAACTATTCAATTCTAATGACTGATTTTTTTTTCTGTTCATCACTTTCAAAGAGCAATAGGCAACAAGAAAATTGTACAGCAGACCAGTAGTCACCTACAACATCGATATACCATGACGACTGAAAAAAACATCCGACTGACTGGCTTCATCGATTGTTGCTCCGATCTTGTGTAACGAAGTTCCCTGTCACTACGCACGAGTTCAGGCACTTCCGCGGATCAATTAAAACACGTATTTTAAACAACGCTATTTTTTATTGCTATTTAAAACTATGTTATCAACCCATTTTAATTTTAATTTTATTTTCAACTATGTTTCAATCAAATTTGTTACTGTCATTTTAATGCGTAGTTCTCGTCATCTGCGCACGCGCAGGAATTGAGTCCCAAACGACAATAACAACGCATGCTAAAAAAGCAAAGGATCATCATGAGTAGACGCTTGTTTGTAAATAATGATTCGCTATGGCCATCTGGCGCATGCGCAGGTAACGAATCCATCACTTCAACTATGTACAAGTGCTCAAGTCCCATATGGCCAGCAAACTAACTAACTGCTCGTTAGTGAAGTTTGTGCCAATTTGGTGACAAATCCTGTTTAAAAGAGTTGTCAGAACGTGATGCAAACAGTGGATGGTGATTAGTTACATTTTCGAGCGCTTTGTAGCATAGTGAGTCAAAAATGTGCGCCAGCAAGCGACAATTCGTGCATAAAATTAAACGTCGAACTTGACACAAGAGGGCGCTGACAAAAAAGGCAACACGGCCTGCCATGTATCATAAACAATTACAGACATTAGAATGAGAGGGACAGACAACCACAGTATTTTTTTTCTTGTTAGACTGTAGCTTCCAATTAACAAATAAACAACTGTAATTCTGAATTTGTTTATTTACTGTGAAGATATGCACAAAATGCTTGAGTTTTTGTGCTCGTGTATGGTTTAATGAGGGTGGGCAAGGGGGGTAGCTGGTACAGTTTTACGGGAAATAGAAAGGGCTTTTTACAATTTACAAAGAAAAAAAAAAGACGTTTTTACAGTTTACAGTGATAAAAAATGGAACATTGAATGGTCCGAAGAGCTCTCCGACTCAAATTCTCCGCCATTGCTGCGCCGCGTGTAGAGACGCATGCGCATATTACCCTCGTAATGCTCTTCATTCGGTTAGAGGGCCTTTTACGTCTTGACATTCAATTTTACGATTTTTTTTTTGGGATGTAAATTCTTGTACGTACCGAGAAAAATGACCACATTTTTACAGTGTACGAAAAAAATATTTGATTGATTACGTTGTACGTCTAGCCTGTGATTACAGAATTACGGAATTTATTTTTTTTCAATTTACGTTGTACGAACCAAAAAATATTGCAATTACGTTGAACGAAAATAACCCTTGCCCCCCTCTTTAATCTGAACTAGGTGATTTGTGTTTCAACGTAACATGTAGGTCACTGTATTACGTATATGCATCAAGTACAATATTTACAGGTCATTAGCCCCTCTCCTATAAAAATGCAGTTCCATAAACCACCTACGCCGTGAAACACAACCGGCGACGAGGCTGCCGAAAAATTTCGTTCCCAGGCGTTTACTATGAGCGTCTGTAAGGCTGATGACTTTTACTGGAACCGTGGCCCCCAACGGTCGTTAACGGACAGTAAACGTAAAAGTATGTGAAGATATACGGAATTATTTCTGTAAGAACAACAACATCCATATCAACAACAATAATACATTGTATTATAATTTATTGTACCAATTTACTGACTTGACACAAATTAATAGTAGCGTCCATATTAAAGTAGGAGGGTCGTCACCAGCGCTCGCGCGGGAATTGAGTGCCGAGCGATGATAACAACACAGGCTAAAACCGCAAAGGCTCATGGGTAGACGCTTGTTTGTAAACAATGACACGCTATGACCATCTGATGCATGCGCAGGTGACGACTCCCCCGATTTAAGTTAACATTACAACGTGAACTGCACAATCAGATCTACCTTTGGAACTTAGTTTCCTTGACGATTTTCTTCGGTTGAGTTGGCGATGGTGTTGTCCATCCATTATATTCATAGTGCAGCTTGCATTGGTGTTTATTCCCAAGTTAAGGTAGTCACCGTTCATATAATATACCGGCAAATATCTAAATACAATGAGTCCCGTTATTCGTTGATTATGGTGTATGACATACACCGCAACGTACCAACTATATACATTTTGTGCAGTGCCCACACACATCGAAGGTCAAGAAGTTTTACACTTCCCTTGTCTCAAATTTATATTCAAAAAAGAACTCCGCTGTTCTGTTTACAACTGGTGTTTTCTGTAATTCGTATTGTACTTGTATAGGAGCCAGTACGAAGCTACTTATAAGATTGTACCTGACTGGATACCCTTTCCTAACACACAACCAATCATAGAGCAGCTTGTCTCGAGACAGTTTTTTTTCAATGTATAAAATTCCGCCTTGTATATATTCTCTATAAGATTGTGCCTGATTGGGTATGCATCCCAAACATCTAACAATTAGGCCAATCATATGCCTCGACTCAAATGAATTCCAACCTAATGTGTTGTGCCCAGTCACACACAGTATAGCCTAGGATACTGAATACAACCTTCACAGCAATTTTTGGCATATTTATTCTACCATATTGCTATACTGATTTAAATTAAAATCAGTGGCTACTTATCGATAAATATTCAACTTCCTATTGATTGTTTTATTTGGGTTTCTCAAGAAGATTTGTTTCTTCGCCAACTCTGTGCTTCATTTCAAAGCACGTGGTCACAAATACAATAATAGAACTGAGAATTACAAGAGCAGAGCCGATTATTTCTAAATCAACTATATGTTTATGGAATACAATGGCGTCAGCTACAAAGCCAGTAACAATATTGATGTTAAATAAAATTGTGGTTTTACCCGCACTCTGCAACTGTAACGATCGGTTGAACGAGTACAAGAAAGCGACAAAAAATGCTACCACTCCTACTAGATATGCAATCGCGATAGGACATTCAGGTATCAACGTATATATCCGATCATTACTTGTAGGGTACACTAATATCAACATAATTATAGTACCACATAACCCATTATAGAATACAACAACTATAAGTGACAGACCATGAGACATTGCTCTGGAACAAACTGCGCCAATCGCGAGGAGGATCCCTGCTAAAAGGGCGTACACATATCCGAGAGGAGGCGCGTTTGTATCAGTGTCAAAGATAAAATTGGGGTGAGATATTAATACAATTCCAATTACATTTGTTACTACAGAAACACAGTTGTGGAATTTAAACGTCTCCTGTATGAATATACAGGCGAAAAGTGGTGTGAATATTGGTGTTGTTCCTGCTGCTATTGAAGACGCATCTCCCACTCCAATATTACTCATACCATAGTAAAACAATAGTGACCCTGCAATCTCACAAATGCTTTTAGCTATGTTCAACAGTGTGTCCTGTCGTCTTAGTGACACAATGTTGATTTTCTTGTAGACAAGCAACGGAATAGTTATTGCCATCATCATCAGTGATTTTACAAGTATAACCTGTGATGGTGAATAACCAATCTTGATGCACAGCAGGGCGAATGTATCATAGATTGCTAGACTTGCACCTGACAGTAATCCCATTGTAATTCCTAAGAAGGCTTTCCAGTAGTGGTGTTCTTTATCCATTGATTGACTCTCATTGATTGGTAAATCATCTATTTTGTCAGTAATGGTATGTAGTTCAAATACATTGGACACACGAATTAAGTCTTCCGTGATCAGTTGGTCTTTATTGCAATTTGGTTCCATGTTGTCAGTGTTTACACACCGTGATCTGTAATTTGATAAATTAATTTTAAATCGCTGTCACAGAATTAAAATGGAGTTTTGAAATTATGTGAAGTAGTTTAACATAATCGTAACAGTATAACATTAGTTGTTTATTTACCATGGGTCATTGTAATCTAGTCAGAAATTTGTTTTGCTAACTGAGCATGAGTTAAAATTTAAAAATCAACGTATTTGGAATACTCAGATTGATTGTAGGATTTTGTATAATGAAACAGTGGTACTTACAACACTGTAGATGTTTGAACAAAATTTTGCCAAAGCCTTTTGTATCCAGCATAAATCTTAGACTTGGGATGAAACTGAGCAAATTTTTGACTAAACACAAGTGGACAATACTTTCACATTTAGTGAAAATATGAACACCAACATTATGCCCGATGGTGGATTGAACTAGCAATGCCTTTGTGAAGCTTGCACTGATTCATCGATATAGATAAATTATGCTTGGCATTTAATTGCTTGATAGAATGACAGTACGTGACAATAAATACTGCAAAACCATTTATTTTTTACTGACATTTAAATTCACTATTTTGATGTTTTGAACATGCGCACTGTGTTTTAGTTCACAAGTGAAATGATGACTTCGATTGTTATTTAACGGATTTTACTTAGTAACGAAAATAACGAAATTAAAATGTGAATAATTAATGCATTCACAGTAAAATATAATTGATCTGACATATAGAGGTTGTTTGTCGTGACTTTGTGATTGTCTTCGCATTTCAATTGGTGAATTGGATTGTACTGTCGACCAAATCAGATTATGATTGTTCTTAAAAATTTAATGTCCTCTTCCACGTTTCATCTTTAATACATTTTAACATATTTTAATACATATTTTCTGTAATTTTTCTTGATTTCTATCGAATATCATTTTCAACCAATGTGAGTATTAATGTAACCCATATTTATCTTTTCTGCAGCAGAAAACCTTCCAATTCCGTATGTACATGTCAGTTTAATCCTTTGGTACAAAAATAAACCTTGTCGAAAAACATGGTTGTCATATTTTACTGCAATATAGCAAATGATCATTTTCCTCACCTGTTTTGTTGATATTCCCTTTATGGTTCCCACATCAGGCGCTGATGAGTAGCGTGATGTAAAATCATTCCATATTCCGCGTTCTATATAGAAGTATGCTGTATATTATTTGCAAAAGTAACGCTGCATCACCAGCATTGCATAACACAGTACACAACGATACGCAAGTTACACAATGACGTCACAAACAGATTAAATACGTAAATAACGAGTTAATGACTGGAGTCTGCATAAATATTTTGTGCTGTGAAAAAATATTCCACATACCACGTCCTACAAAGAAGTATGCTGTATATTCTTTTCAAAGGTAACGCTGCACCACCAGTAATGAATTACACAGTACACTACGATGCGTACGTTATACAATGACAATATTTGTATGCACTAATATTGAGATGACACTGCAGTGTTTGCTTGCACCAGTACTGAGCAAATCTGCTATGGTGTCAGTGAAATGTGATCGGCGCATGTGAGATGATATCGAATAAACCAAGTATATCTCGTCGTTAGTGAGGTTCATTTCTATTTGGCACCAAACCCTGCCAGGAAAGAGTTGTCAGAACGCAATGCATTCAACAGTGGATGGCGATTAGTTACATTTTCGAGCTCTCTCACTTTGTAGAGGGTCAGCAAGGGTTATTTTCGTAAGCTGTAATCAATTGTTTTTATTTTCGTAATAATGTAATTTAAATAAATAAAAAACGTAAATTCGTAGACATGGGCAAGGTGTAAAATGTAATCAGCTATTTTATTCGTCCGTAATTTGTACAAAGATATTATTTTTTTGTAAGCGTATAAAGCATTTCCAAAATTAAATGTCGTAATTCGTACGCAATTTCCAATTTTGATTCTTAAATACAAATTATTAGAAATATTATAAAAATGTAATTAGAAATTTGCCTTATCTGTAAAGTGTAAAAACCTATTTTTTACTGTAATTTTAATTTCTGTAAAACGTAAAATGCCGTTTTTATTCACTGTAGCGTGTACCAGCTACCCTCTTGCTCCCCCCTGTTTGTAGCATACTGTGTCAAGAAAGTGTGCCAGCAAGCGACAATTCCTGCAAAAATGTAAACATCGAATTTGACACAAGAGGGCGCCGACAGAAAAAAAGGCAACACGGCCTGCCATTTCATTCGTCAGCTCCTGAGAGCGAGGTTATGTGTAGTTATGCTGGCGATCGCCGCTGTGTCTGCGGATGTAATATGGGAGATTGCATGATGGGAGTGAAAAGTCTTTTGATCAGTAAAATAATTTTAGGAAAGTGAAAACTAGAATGACTGTGAAATAAATATTGGTTTTAAATATTAAATATCATAGAATCTGGATGTAATAATGAAAAGAAATTGAACTGGTATAAAAGGGCAGTAAACGTAGCCAGAATGCAAGGTTTGAATCCGGGGGTCAATATACGTCACAATACATCAATCAAGGCGGTTGCAAAGTGTCAACAACTATGTATGCGGTAAAACACTTGATTTGCAGTTTGCGTGAATGGCCGGGGGGAAAAATCATGCAAATTCTGTGCTTCAGTAACAGTATTTGCTGCTTTATTGTGCAATGGAAATTAATACAAGAAATGCTGCCAAAAGTCCTTTTAGTAAACAGAACAATTTTGGGACGTTTATCTTGAGAATTTGAAAAGACGAAAATCTTTTGGGACAGTCGTTGTGAGACAATAGACATGTTTCTTCAGAGTATCAAAGATATTTTGATTATTTGAAGATGGAAACTGCTGCTTTATGGAAGTTCAATGTCATCGGACACAGTAATGACGTTTCCAGAGAGGTGATCGACATGACTCCAGACTTTTCATTCGGGTTTATACAAGACTTACATGTTATTCTCAGGAAGGTTTAATGTCTTGTTTGTATTGCCATGTTCTCTTGGAATTGTTAAATCTTGGTATCATTCCCAACTGTCACCAAACTGTACGTTTTGATGACTCGTATGCAATTGTAAGATTATATTTCAGGTATACTCGAAGTGAATAACAGCATTGAGCCTTTTATAGATTTCATGGTTTTGTTATAAGCAAGTCTCAGAAGTATTGGGGCAGCCAATTTGCAAACTCGCTAGCAAATTAGCTGACTGCTTAGGTTTTGACTAAACAGTTGACTTTCGAATCTCGTAGGTGCCGACTTGTGGTCGCGTCTACTCTGGGCGAGTCTATATTGCTTTAGGTGACATAGAATGTTTTTACTTGGCCTGGTACTTGTCTGAGTTCATCTGGATGATTTGCTTTTTTATGAGAGGCGTGATAATGTAAAAGTAGTACGAGTAATTTCTAATTTATATGGAGTAGCCATCTTAAACATGGCTTGAATCAAAATAAAGAGACAAGTTTAGAAACAGTTTCCTACAAATCAGGGAGAACATTTTCACATCCAAACAATCAGTTGGGGGTAATACTGAGTCAAAACCCAAACAGTTAACCAATTTGCTAGCGGGTTTGCAAATTGGCTTCCCCAATACTTCTGGGTATTGTAATAATCTTCTGGAAACTGTACAGCAAATCACATATTTTCATTATTAATTGTTCATAGTTTTTCTAATTATTATTCATAGTAATAAATAAAACAGTTTTCCCTTCTGAAATCATTCCCAGTTATTATGATTGTGTACATGACAGTTTTCCAATAAGACATGTGTGAGTATGTTTCATGGATTAGTATGCCATTTTTTTTCTTCAATTCCAACTATATCTCTGGGAATATCACTTGCTATTTATCATCCATATTTCGATATCCCACAACGTGTCGACTGCGTGTCTGGTAATTCTAACTAACTGCTATTTCGCAAAATTTAACCAAGCTTGCTTCTATCAGTCATTTAAGTCAACTCCCAGATTTTCCGTCACAGTGAAGGTTAATTCAGATATACTGTAAATTACACAGAGGTAACACTACAATACATTTCCCTTTACATTCCCTTGCGCAACAATATTTGTGCTGAGGCAGTGATGGTTCACATCCATCACCAGTTCTCTTGTATACATATACATATACAACTACAGACGGTAGAATGACAGGGACAATCAACTACAGTATTTTTTTGTTAGACTGTAGCTTCCAATCTAATTAACAAATAAACAACTTTAATCCTGAATCTGTTTATTACTAGGTGATTTGTGGTTCAACGACACATGTAGGTCACTGTATTACGTATATGTATCAGGTACGATTTTTACAGGTCATTAGCCCCTCTTTTTTAAAAATGTAGTTCCATATCCCACGTACGATTTGACACACATGCGGCGACGAGGCTGCCGAAAAATTTCGTTCTCAGGCGTTTACTATGAGCGTCTGTAAGGCCGATGACTTTTACTGGAACCGTGGCCCCCAACGGTCGTTAACGGACAGTAAACGTAAAAGTATGTGAAGGTATACGGAATTATTTCTGTAAGAACAACAACATCCATATCAACAACAATAATACATTGTATTATAATTTATTGTACCAATTTACTGACTTGACATAAATTAATAGTAGCGTCCATATTAAAGTAGGAGGGTCGTCACCAGCGCTCGCGCGGGAATTGAGTCCCGGGCGATGATAACAACACAGGCTAAAAACGCAAAGGCTCATGGGTAGACGCTTGTTTGTAAACAATGACACGCTATGGCCATCTGACGCATGCGCAGGTGACGACTCCCCCGATTTAAGTTAACATTAAAAAGTGAGCTACACAATCAGATATACCTTTGGAACTAGTCACACACAGTATAGCCTAGGATACTGAATACAACCTCCACAGCAATTATTGGCATATTCATTTTACCATATTGCTATACTGATTTAAATTAAAATCAGTGGCTACTTATCGATAAATATTCAACTTCCTATTTATTGTTTTATTTGGGTTTCTCAAGAAGATTTGTTTCTTCGCCAACTCTGTGCTTCATTTCAAA